ACTTACCAGATATTTAAAAGCAAAGCTACACATTATTACTATTATGCCAGCATGGATAAGGAAATCTGTAATGACCTAGTAGTATCATCTGCAATAGACAGACAAATCTGGCTCTTTTGGTCAGTCTTTATAAATAAAAGACTTAACAAAATTAAAATAGCTTGTGCTTAAAATGCTGATTTATAATCTCTTTGACCTGAGCTGCATAACCAATTAACATGTGATAGGACTTTTACCCTTGTGGTGAAACAAATGCCTACTTCCCCTTCGGAACACAACCCAATTCCTCCCAAGCATGCTGCCAAGACAAGAAAGGGTTAACTATCCAAACACTTGAAGGGAGTATCTCAAAATCTGCATGCCTGAAAGACAATTTTTTAAAAAAATACATTTTTGCAAAGGAATACCATACTTACCGATGTCTACTAGTGAAGAATCTTCTATGTGCTAAAGTCTATAGCAAATGTACCATGATATTAACTTCAAAGATGGTAAGAAGATTAAAAAGTTCATGGGATGAGACATGCAAGACAGAATTAAAAATATAAGACTGAACAATCCAAGTGCCTTAGCAAGATCCTTTAATATTTCTTTGCTAATAAGGTAAATTCTTAAAATGCAACCTAGCAAGCATAAGTGTAAGTGAAAGCTTTTAAAATCTTATCACAACATGTTATTTAGTGAGCTAATCATCAAAGTATTTTGTATGGGAACAGAAGGGGGATTTACTTATTAAAATCAGTCCAACTCAATTTAAGATCATCGTATTTGTGCTGTTTTTTACTCCTAAAATGTGTACCTTACATTTAACAATTACCAAAAACAAAAAAAAAAAAGACCTAATTTCATATCAAAGGCTTCCAAGAAAAGTCACCCTTCCCCCCCCACTGAAACCATCCCAAGAACCTCAGGCTCTTGTGATCATGGCAGTATTCAGTCTCCCTGGTGCTAAGTTAGAAAGAACACAGTAAAGGATAGTGACATGGAGGCAGGAAGTTTTATACTGGAAACTGTCAGTGAAAATTGCCATTCCCTTACAGTCGCTCAAGTACTTATTCAAGTCCTCACTACTCTCTGGCCCACTGGTTCCCACCGTGTGGTCCTGGGAACTGTAGTAGCAGCCTCACCAGGGAACTTGTTAGAAATGCAAATTCACTGTCCCACCCCAGACAGCCTGAATCAGAAACTCTGGGAATAGGGCCCAGCAATTTGTGTTTTAACAAGCACTACAGGAGATTATTATGATGTTCTCTAAAGTTTGAGAACCACTCCTCCTCAAACTTTAATATGCATTAGATCACCTGGGGAGCTTGTTAAAATGCAGGTTCTAATTCGGGAGGTCTGAAGTGGGGCCTACATTTCCATCATTTCCCAGGTGAAGTCCTTTGCAGACCACACTTCAAGTATTTCCCAAACCGGTTGTTTGCCAAAATTACCCAGGGTGCTCATAAAATATGGGTTCCCAGGCACCACCCCAGATTAAATTAATCCAAATCTCAGGAGAAAGACCTAGAGAAGTATAACCAGTGGCTATCCACCTCCGCTGCACATTAAAATCATCTGGGGAGCTTTTAATTATCCTGATGTCCAGGCCTCATCGAAGACCAATTAAGCCAGAATCTCTGGGGTTAGAACCCATGCATCCATATTTTTAAAACTCCCCTGTGATTGGAATGTGCAGCCAAGGCTGAGAAGACTCAAGAGTCTAACTGGCTCAAAACCTGGCACAGAGGCTCCCTTTATAATAGCAAACAGTTTCCTATAACGTGACTAGCAGGGCAGGGGTCCCGCGGGTAAATCCAGGGGTTCTGACGTTGAGTAGTACTACAGTCATAATTTTCATCACGTCTTGAACCTTATTTCTGTGGGCAAATGAATGTGCTTATACACTTGAGACCAAGAGTTTAGTAATGCACCCCTAACTTTTAATACAAATATTATCTGTCTTCCATTTAAAAAGTTTCCACCATCCTCCCAAGTTGTTTTAGCTACCCTACCTCACCTCTGTGCAATGAGGTACGTACTCCAAGAAACAGCAACAATAATAACGCATCTGTACCTACACAGCCTGTTCATATATCAACAGTCCCTCACCAAAACTTGAAACAGATCACAGGAAATTGCTGATAACCTTTCAGTGAAATGATAATTGATGAATATAGAACTTCTAAACCTATAAAAGGCAGATTTGTCCAATTACAGGCATTTTGACAGAAAGGTCCTGGGAAGGGATGAAAACAGTGTTTTTGTTTTTCACATAAGGATCTGAAATTGTCAAAAGCACATGGTCTGGTAGACAGAGAAAAGGACCTGAAACACCTCTGGTCACTACAGGATACTAATAACTCTGAGAAGGAAAAAAAGCTATGTCTATTTATGTCTTATAACTCCCCCCAGCACAAAGCCACACTAATAAGTACACAAGGCTATTAAATATGTAAAACAAAAAGGAAAATGTGTGGTGGCCATGATGGCACTGTCAGTAACTACAGTTATTTTACTCTCATAATCAGATATCACTTTAAAGAAATTTTCCACAGTATACCTCAAAAATGACTTTAAGACAAAAATAAGAAGCAGTCCTCTTTCCATTTAAGTGAACTTACATTCTACCCTTGGCCATGTTTAGTGTCTCCTCTAAATTAGTTGTTTTGTTGAATACATGACACATCAAGGCCTACTAAATTATAATAGTTATTATTCCCCCACCATTGTTTCAACATATCCACAGTGGTCCAAAATGTGCTTTATTTTCTGTTTAATTCCATGAGAAAAGAATTCCAGTGGATGGGCTTTTAGAAGATAAACAATACCTAAATATGTGTGCAAATGGCCTAAATATTTCCAAAAGCATTTTCTGTATGAACTGGTCAAGCTCACTTTGCTTTCAAATTCTTGGTATAGTCATTCAGTTAACCCAAACTCACTTTAAAATGTGTGAAAATAGCACCTCCTCTAAGTGTGTTCTCATAAGCTTTGGAGCAATGGAGCGTGAATTCTAAAACAGCCTTTGCCAAAGTCCTATAACTAAACAGAAGTGAATTTTTGCAGTCCTGTGACTTTGCAGAGTCAACCTATGTATCATCCCAGGACTGGCTCTAATACATCACAGACATCCAAGAGAAGGCAGAAAAGTCACAAATAAGTGAGTCAAGCTAATAAATATTTCATAGATTTTTTTTAACATGGCAGTCTTTCAAAATGAATTTTACTTCTTAACCAAAAAAACAAATTGACTAAGGTCTAGGATTTAAGTTCCCCAAATTAAAACTATGAAATTTATAGACATCAAATTTACTTGACATAGTCAAATGCCTTCTCATGCATTTCCTATGACCCAATACCCAAAGATGAATCAAGTCAGAAAGAAAACGCACAGACCACAGAAATCAATACAAAATTAAATACATTTAAAGTATAAAGGCCAAAGAAAAACGATACAAATTTATAATTTCCAGGACACTTTATTGTAATTTCCACATTACATATTAGTTTAATATTTTTAGTTTAGGCAGAAGTGTTTATATTTATCCAGTAGTAGTGTAATCCCCTAATCTCACAGAATGAAAAAAAAGCAGTTTAAAAAGAACATCAATTCAGGTATTTATGATATGGGGACAAGGGGTACTTGTTTTAACTAAAAAAAAAAAAAAAGAGTTGATGCTTTTCAGTATAAGTTTCACTGAAATTTTTCTCGATTATTTTTCTTGTTGGTGCTAAGTACTCATAATAAAAACAATCACCCTCTTTGTCATTGTGCCCTTCCTTGGGCTTTACATTCTGTTTAGCATTTAACTGAAAAAGTCAGTTTACACTCAGTTTACACATTAAAAAAAAAAAAAACATATGCTCCCTCTCCCACACATCCAAATGGACAGGGATTAGAATTAACCTGGCTTTTCGCCATAACAGTGCTATTTTAAACAATTTCAACCACACACTGGAAGGGTAAAATACTTAAAAGTACAAAGCCAAAGGAAACCATAAAAATTCCTGTACACTTACTGTTGGGATGGTTTAACTTATTTCTCAAATCGTCGAGCCTAAAGTAGATTTCTTAAAAGTGAAATCGACACAAAAGCAAACGCACGTTTAATGTACAAACTGACAGTGGCTCTATGGGGACAGTTCTCTTTGAATGAGCTATTACCGAGAGTGAAGGGGAGGGGGAAGTTCTTACTCTGCAAATGTGAACCAGCCAGCGGTGCGCTTCACTAGAAACACAGTTTAATGGATATGTTCGGATAAAAATAGGTATTAAGGGGAAATGTGTTGGGTAAAAAAAAAAAAAAAGTCCCTCCGCAGGACACAGGGAAAGTCGAAGTAAAAGACGGGTAGGTTCCTAAGCTCCAGCGCTCTAAGTTCCATCACTATGTGAACAGAGAAGTTGGGTAGTTGCTGCTCTTTTGCACCCTGCCACGGGATAGACAGTAAGTCTCCCTGTGCAAGTGACGCGGGGCGGGAGTAGTGGCGGGGTTTTCACGCGGGTCACGGAAACCAAAGTGAAGAGAGGTCATCCTACAGGAGTCCAACTCTCCAAAACTGGGGCGGTGGGGAAACGGGGTGTCGCGAGAAGAGAGAGAGAAAAAAGAGAGAGAGAAAAAAGAGAGAGAGAGAGAGAGAAATAAGAGAGAAACAGGAGAGACAGACAGACAGACACCCACAGACACACACACGCGCGCGCACACGCACACGCACGCACACACACACGGTCAAAACTCCTGGAAGTTCTCGCAAAGAGAAAGAAGCGAACACCTCCGGGAGCCGGCGGGCCGTCAGTGGCGACCGCAGCAGCACCCGGCTCCCAAAGTGGGGTGCTGGCGTCGGAGGGCAGCCTCGCGGGGTGCCCCGACGGAGGGCGAGTGGCTCCGCAGCTCCGGACACCCGCGCGGCGCGAGGGGCAGGGGCAGCCGCCGGCGGGGAGGCGGGCTCGACTTTGCCTCAACTCGAAGTCCCATCCCGAGCGCCAGGGAGAGGGGGGCGGAGGGCACGGTACTCACTAGGGCTCGTTGGTGAACCGGGGGGTCCGGGGCTGCTGGTATCCGTACAGGTGACAGTAGAGAACATCGAAGCAAAAGCAGCACATCTCCGCTGACACCACCATCTTCCGGGAGCCGGGCGAGGAGGACGAGGCGGCGGACAACGAGGAGGGCGAGGAGGCGGTGGCGGCGGCCGGGGTAGAAAGTAGGGTCCCCACTCCGCAGCTCGGAGGTGGCGACAGGGAAAGCCCCCCGCCGCCGCCGCCGCAGCCCTGGGGGGAGAGAGGGTACCGCCGCTGCCGCTACCTCCTCCGGCTAGACCGCCCAGCCCGTTGAGCCGCGGACCGGCGCCTCCTAGTCCCAGCTCCCCAGCTCGGCACTGGCTCTCTCCGCTGCAGTGGGAGGAGGAGGAGGCGCCACCACCGCCACCCGAGCCAGAGGGGGGCGAACTGGACAGTTTCTGCTTCTTCACCCCGCAGCAGCCCGCCGCCATCTTGGAACAGTCTCCCCCACGCAGCGCTTCCGACCCATAAGTGAAGCGAGCTGCCGACGGGGGCGAGCACGCTGCGGCCCGGCCGCCGGGGGCGCGCTGGGGGCTGACTGGGTGCGCGCGCGCGCGCCATTTCCCGGCCAGCGGCCCGGCCACGCGGCCGTCCCGCGCGTGCCCGGCCTCCGCGCGCGCTCCGCGCTTTCGCCGCTGGACACCTCGAGCCTGGCCCGCTGGCCTCGTAGCGCCTCCTGCCAGGCGCAGCCTCCGGCCAAGAGGCCGTAGAGGCTGATAGACGGGAATCGCAGTAGAAAGGAAGGAGAAGGAAAAGAGGACGAGAAAGTGCAGTGGAAGCGAAGGGAGGACGTGGGCACGTCCAGAGAAAGGGGAAAATTGGGGGGGGGGGCTCGGGACGCGGAAGAAGAATGAAAGTCCGAAGTAAGTATTAAGGTGGCAAAGCACGGCTGGATTGATGCCCTGCCAGGCAGCGCACAGTGTTAACTGACGCTTGAGCCGAGTTCCGTGGAACTGAAGACTCACACCTCACGTACACGCTGCTTTCTGAGCCACCCCTCGGTGAGCAAGCAGGTGCCCGGGGCTCCTCACCTGTGACCGGCCCTGTTAAGGGTGCACAAAGCAGCGATGGTTTTAATACCAATCTAAGCACACGCCAGCGGGTACCCAAGATTATGGTAAACCATCCTTACTTTTTCCTTTCCTTATCGACAAGTCAGTCAAGCCCAGCAGAATCCCTATATTCGCTCCTTGTTCCCTAACTTTCCCTCCTAATCCGCGAAATCGTTTCAAAGAAAAAAAAAAAAATGAAGTCCTAACCCAAGCTCTCACTACTTCAAAGATGTTAATTGTTATGTTAATTCAAAATGTGAAAAAAAAAAGTTGTTATATGTAAATCTTAATCGCAGCGGGGTTTGGGGATTTTGCCTTGGGAACCAGGCACTTAGAAATTAGAACTTGAGTCAGCACAGATCTTCCAGGTAAGCAGGACAGGTACTTACTCAAGTTAAAAGATTTTGTCCAGGCATATAATTATATAGTTTTTATTGTTCATTTAAAAAAATTCCCAGTCAAAGAATGCTTGCTTGAATGAGGGGGCGGATGAGTCAGTCCCATTCTGCGTACCTAAGAAACAATCAAATGTTAAAACTCACACAAAGGAACCCGATAGAGACAGAACGTATTAGTTATGTGTGTCGTTTCTCCACCATGCCAAAACACCTAGACAAAATCAAATAGCTACATATTTGGAGACATCAGAGGATTGATTCATTCTGTCACCTATGAGCTAAATAAATATGTGGGATCTTGCAAATACCTGGGGGCTATTCATTCCACTCAAGAAAATAAAGTTATTCAATCAATAATAAATAACGAGCCTCTGTGCCCATACTATGTGCACACTATATTTATGTTGAAATCTAGGATGTGTGCTTCCATTCTCAAAGAGGTCTCTGTACATCATCAGATAAATGACTACTATTTTATTGAGCACCTTTTGGGTGCTGAGTACCAAGCTTTGTCTCACCCCATAAAACTAAAAAATTCTATGTTGCGGTATTTGATCTTGACAGTAACTCTGTGACTGCTCATTTACAGATGAAGAAATTGAACCTCAGGAGTAACTAATCAATCCAACATCACACCCTAGAAAGCGACAGAGCCAGGATTTGAATACAAGCATGTCTGATTCCAAAAACCATGCCATTGTGTTATATACTGCCTCTCAATACCAATATTTGACAGCCAGCTTAGTGATGGATAAAACATGGTGACTTTTAACTACAGTAGGTGGAACAGGGGTTGAACAAAAGTAAGAACTTAACTTCCATGGAAAGAGAAACAGTGAATTTTTTTTAATCACAAAAAGAGGAGCCATCTCCTTAAAAAGAGATTTTGTAAAATAGATCAACTGTCTAGGTTGGATGCAACATAAAGCAAATGAGATGAGTTAAATGATTTGTGATATGTGATCTTGTCCTCTCAAACTTCATCATCACTGTTAGACCTATTCTCCTGTTTGAGGCAAGTAACAATTGATTGTCAACCACTAGTGGTGAAAAAAAAAAAAAAAGCATTTTTTTTTTCTGCAGAAGAGAAAGCAGGTTCTCTTTTAAAAAAATTCCTCCACGACAAACTAGTACACTGATATAGTGTATTGTTTTATGTTTTATTTTATCCTTAATTATCAAAGTCTACCTTTTAATTTGTTTGAAACTTGGTCAAATACGATATCAGATAATAGGTAGCATTTTACTCACCACTCCACTAAGGAGAGATCACTTTTAGAGTAGAAAGCTAGTGCCATGAATGACATCACACGACAGTTTAGCACAGGAAGCAAAGTAGGATACCATGGATGGCTGCTTCTGCTAGGGGAATTTAGGAAAGCAGAATGTAATCTCCCGATTTAGAATTTGGCCAGTAGACAAGAGTCTAACGCCCCTACTCTTGTGAAAATAGCAAGGAATCTTTAATAAGCACCAGTAGTCATGTCCTTAGTTCTGCATTTCATCTACAAGACAAAACACTATCATGGCTATCATACCAGGCTAAGGGACTGATGCAATGGGAAACCCTAAGACAAGGACATCCCAGCTGAATTACAAAAATAGCTTCCCCCCAAGGATTTTAAATTCCAATTCCAAACCTCACAAGCGCAAAGGAAATAGACAAACCCAAACATGATCACTGCAGAAAATATATCATTACCTGATCACTAGAGGTTACTATCTGAAGTACTTTGTTGTATTGGCTGATAAAAAGGGGCAGGGGATGGGGGTATGCTAGCTTTTCTCTATATATTAACTTCTAAGCTTGGCTCATCTCCCATCTTTAGCCTCAAGATGCTTTGCAAATCCCCTGGCAAGTAGTGGTGGTGGTGGTAATGCCTCCTTTTAGCCTTTGAGGAAATGCCTTTCCTGGTCTGTTTTCTTGCAGTCACCAGTATAAAAACAAAGATTTTTTTTTTTCATTCAAACATGTGAAATCCACAGATCAAATTCTATGGGATTTTTGTGTGTTTTAAATTTTTTTTTACATCTACACAAAGTGCACACTGGATAGGAAAACTGACCTTGCTCAGAATTCCCTTGATTTGAAATATAAAGGTCAAGTATGATAGAGCACATGTGTTTCAACACACTGCTGATACTGTAGTGCAGTGATAATACCCTCCAGAGGAAACATTAAGGTGCCTTCTGCTTTATGTAACTGACTGTCAAGCTGAGAGCTAAAGATTCCACATCTCTTTTAAATAAAAAAAGTAAATAGGCCATAGTCTCTTTGTCAACAAGGCACATTCAAACTGTCAGCATTTCAGCTTCTGCATCTGCCTGTAAATTATTATTAACTAAGCCTTGTCAAATGCTTAGCTATACAACTGTGAAAAACTTTCTGAGCAAAGGTTACACACATTATTTACTATACGTAGTAAAACTGGAAATTGAATTAAACCCAATGTTTACTGATTTCTATATTTTTGAGTTATCATTATCTCAATTTATTGTCATGTTTACAATATAGTTATCTTTCATTTCAGAAAAAAGAATGATTTGATGAGGCAGTGATCACTTGTGAATGTTGCAAAATTATTTTCTTATGTTTCTGGGGGGATGGGTGAGATGAAGAACATTCTGTAGTTCAATGGAGGATAAAAACTTCCATTTATGTCCATACAAGTGTTTATTTTTATCCTGTGTCATCAAACTTTCTCAACTGTCATCCTTGAACAACTGCAGAATGTAATATTATTAGCTACCACTTTGATCTAACCTTGTATACATGTAACACATGGCTCTGGTGGTGGAGGTGACAATAGGTTCCCTTTTATGTTTGAGTAAGTATGTGAATACTGAAATCCATTTTTTAAAGTGGATATTTTATTTTTTATTTCTACACAGTGGACACATTTTTGGCATGTTTAGGATTAATAACAACAACAATAAAAATAGTAGATTAACTAAAATATTAGAAACTGTTTAAATTCCATTCTGTTTCCTCAGTAACACTGCTCTTCTGTGTCCTCTTCTGGTTCTTCCGCTCATTTCTAGTTTTATTTTTATTTAATTTATTTATTTATCCATAGTTTTAATGAGGTACAATTGTTGTACATCCTTGTTAATTTTTTGACAGTATAGGATTTCCCCCATTAGTTGTGGTCATTGTAGCTCTCTCACCACCAAAGCACCCATAGTCCTTTACCGTAGTCCATCCCCACCCCCACTACTTCTGCATGCCTATCCCCTTCCTTCCTTTCTTCCTTCCATCCTGGATGCCTCAGAGTCATTATCAGCTTTCAAGGGTTGGTTTTAAAGTGTGTCCTTGTCTGACTCTGTATGGTTTCTCTATATTCCACATATAATGAAAACATCCAGTAATTTATCTTTCTCCTCCTGGCTTATTTCACGTAACCTAGTCCCACAAATGGCAGATGTTTATCTTTTTTGTTTGCTGAGTAGTATTCCATTGTGAATATGTACCACATCTTCTTGATCCACTTATCTGTTTGGGGGGCATTTAGGTTGCTCCCATATCTTGACTTTTGTAACACGTACTACAAAAATATGAGTGCAAGTTTCTTTTCAAGTTAATGTTTTTGTGTTCTTTGGGTAGATACCTAGGAGTGGAATTGCTGGGCTGTATGGCAGGCCCATTTTTAGTCTTTTGAGGAACCGCCACACAAAAGTAGGAAAACCTACTTTTCCATTCAAATTGATAAATCAACTTTTCTTTTCCTGATTACAAAACAGGTGTTTCCTTCCTGAGTTCTTTCTTTATCTAATGAGCACATTAATGAACCGAAGAACCATGATCTACATTGAACTCTTTTCTACTTGTATTTATATCTTCTATTATCAACTGGAGTGCAAATTATTTGAATGTTATATTGTCACCTATTTTCTTAAGACAAAGTTAAATGAACTCCTTTATGAGATTTAGATATGCTGAGATCTATACTAAACATGGAAGGATTTAAAAAGCTAACTAGTTGTGGATTAAAATGGAAAGTTTTTAGGGAGGAAATAATCAAAACA